TAATACCTGGCAATTCATGGAGCTAATACCATACTGGGGAATTCCATGGAATTACTTTCATGGAATTTCATGGACCTAATAAGCATACCTGTGAATTTCTTGGAGTTAATATCTGGGAATTTCTTGAAAATACAGCTTAATGTACATGTATATGCTGACAAATTTACTCCTGGATAAAATACATTTGTAACAAGATTGTCCCAATTAGCCTTTGCACCATTTTATTTAACAATTTGGATTAAAAAGAGTACACTGAGCTCTTTGTTTTCATGTATCAGTCGGTTCGGTATTCTGGTAAAAGGGGACGTTTTGTAAACAACGTATACCTGCCAACATTGGAAAGTCAAGAAATCAGAGTATCCGTTTGATGAGCCCATAGAGCCCAAAACAACCTGCTATATAACAGAGGCAAATGTGTGCACATGTTGTACCTATCCATTTACACAGGTGCATGTACTGTAACTGCTGCTATTTTGAGCCTTGAGAGTGGACATTAAAGTCACAACAAAATCTGACTTAGAACCAAAGTTGCGCCCAAAGAAAGTTGCAACGTTGAGGGTTACACAACCATGGCAACCAATACAATTTGTAAACATGGCAAATAGTGCTCTGCTTTACAACCAGTGCCCTCTAGTGCCCTCTTCAGTCGACACATTTTTAATCATTGTACTTTCCCCCTATTCTAGGAAATAGGAATGTTCCAATTTCTGCCGTCTGTAACCTTTAAATCAGGAGTAATTCCAATCAAATCGAACAGTTGGCAGGTATACGTGTACAAACATGTACAAATACATGTATGGTTGAAAAATGTTAGAGGTAGCTAGCAAGACTATGCCTTCCACTCAAAAAGTGGCCTGGCAATTTAAAACTTGATTTGTTAGGTTAGGTCCCATTTGGTCAGATAACATTCTGGTGCTATTTCATTTCTTTGTGAGAGCACTTTTTGTACAAGTTTGACAGTTTCAATAATGTGCTATGTGATGTACATGTCGTCCTGGCATAACGTGTACTACATGTACATGAACTAACTCAGGCTTGATGTAAATGTCTTAGTCTACAAATATGTTAAATACATAAACCAAGCACAAAATAAAGATTTAGGAGTTAAGAAGGGAGTTTATTATTTCATTTTTGGTAATGACACCAAGGATTCCTCAACTGAGCACCCTTGGCACTGTAGCTCCCCAGCCTGAAGAAACCTGTGTAGAGGAGACAATGAGCAGTTACAGTTTTAGAGATGGGAGGAAAACCTGAGAAATATTCTGAGTGAAACCCGCAAAATCGGGTAGGGCCCAAAAACCCAATCCATATGTGGACTGAGGCAGGAATCCAACCAGGGTCGCAGGGGTGAGAGGTGAGAAAAGAACCACCAC